TAGTCCACTAGAAGGGTCAAACAAGAGAAGCCTAAAGCTAGACCCTAGGCTCTAAGGAGAGAAGTGAAGACCTCATCCGAAAATGAGGTCAACACATACAAATTATGGTGGATCTCAAGGTGGCAGTGGTGATCGGTGAAGGTTTGGAAGGTGGCGAGATGGTGGACGAGGTAGTTGGCAAACAAAAAGCAGGAAAGCAACGGTTTCCAGAGTTTTGGACAACAAGCACACAACAGATATTGTCATATCGATGTGTAACGGCTGTTCGGGATGATGGCGGCAGAAGAGGAAGGCTGGAAAGCAGCTGAAGCAAAGATTGAAGGCTGTAACGGTGATAGCAGCGAGGATGGAGGGCTGTTTAGGGTTGCTGGCAACAAGGAAAAGGGGGTAGTGGGGTTGCCTGGAAGGCGGCAACAAGTTGGAAGGGGTGGAGTGGTGCCTGAGAAGGCTGGAAAAAGTAGGGACAGCAAGAAACTAGTGAGAAGGGCGGCAGGGAAGGGCGTGAGAAGGGCAGCAGGGAAGGTCGGAAAAGCAGGAAACTGCAGGAAAAGGCAGCAAAACAGTTGTTCTGGGCAGCTGCAGCAAGGAAAGGTGGCGGAGAACGATGTGGAGCAATAGGGGAAAGATGCAAAAGGTTTTGGGGAAGAATAATCACCACCTCAGAAGCAAGATACAATCGGAGCACCACTCGACCCTAGGGTTCAACCTTAGAAGGGAGAAACGGAGATGACAACTGCTGTCCCGAACAAAACTTACAAAAAACTGAACCTAAAACATCAGGAATACAAATATATAACTCTAGAATAACTAGAAGTGGACCCCACTCCCAATGACATCAATTCACCATAATAAAAAAAAAACTTGTAACCCTATTTATAGAAATTAGATTTACAATTTAAATTAAAAAATAAGTTTATAATATAATTCAAATTTTAAATACATCCTATCATCTGATTCAAAATTAAGAACAAAATAATCCATATCTAATTTAAATAAAAATAAGCCTAGTGAAATAAATACAAATTCAAATTTATGAATTAGTCTTATCTAGATTTAGTTTAGGCTTTGTTTATTCACGAGTCTGACTTTGAGTCCATGTGCTACATCTCATGCGCACATTGAAAGAAAACATTTGATCAAAAAATGACAAAAGGGTTGAGCCAATGTACAATTCGTGAGGAGGAGGAGGGCCTACATATTTCTCAAAGAAGAAAAAGAATAGTTGGAAAGTTTTAATATGCAAAGACAATTTTACAAAAAATTACTTCATGTAATATGAACATCATAACTTTAAAAAAAATAAAAAAAAAGCATCTGCCTGTCATTTAATAAAGATCAATATTGACTGATATAAAGAAAAAGAAAGGAGTTCGAATGGGAAGCTAGAAAAATTAGAAAGATTTACATACATACCACTTATTTCTTATGTATTTGCATATCTAAACTTAAACTTCACTTTTTACATACAAGCCACCTTGCCTACACATGAAAAGGTATATTTCATTTTTTAAAAGTTAAAGAAGTCGTATATTTTATGTGATATGAAAATTTTGGGTGGTATAATTGTAGAAAGTAGAGTTTGGGAGTTAAATACATAGGAATTGGGCAGTGTGTATGTAAATGCCCCAAAACTTTTTTCGAATTACCTTGTTCACAGCAGACTCCAGATTAATAGATCCCTTCTTATCAGAGACTTTATTCTGCATTAAAATATAACCCTCAGGCACTTTTGCGCCAGATATAACTTCCAATAGCCAGTCTTCAAACCTTGTTACAGCTTTCTCCAAAATATCAACTATCCCCTCATCAATTTTATTGTCATTGCCAACTTTCATAGTTGGTGAAAGACCAGCATCAAGTACGATATGTTCAGCCAGTGCAGGACCATAGCTTAATGCTTCACCGAGAATTGCTTTCAAAGAAGTTTTGTTAGATCGAGCACCATCGTTAGCTTTCCCATTCTTCCCCAACACGTTCTTAGTCTGCTCGAATAAATTAGACGAGTTGGTGCCACCTTCGGTAAAGACAGATTCTTCCGTAAAATCTGATGTTTTGCATAGCGTGAGAGACATTTTTAACTTAGAAAAGTCGGTCCTTTTGAAAACACGGCAAGCTTCGACCGGATAGCGGTGGCGCGACATGATTGCCAATCCCTTATCATCATCTCTGAGGAAAAAAATACATGAAACAATTAAAAGATGTTATTTCTTCCATTGAGAGAAAATAAGCCTTACGATATGCTTTAAACTCAGTATATTGCAACAAAATAACAGTACTAACATGAATTCATACACAGGAGGACAATGATGCCATTTTCGACAAATAAATGGTTGTGCTGCTAACAAGCTATGTTCAGCTTAGGGAATTGATAATAATTAAAAAGAAATTTAGATATAAACCACAAAATTTTTATGTGTTTACATATCTAACACCAAAAGTTTGATATATACAGTTTTAACATCTTGGTGTCATAAGCCTATGCATTAAAAAGTGTATTTCACTTTTGCATCCACAGTTGAGGCATCAGTAAACCTTTTCATAGTTACGTCATTCTCCCTTGAAACTTAAGTACAATTTCAATTTCTGCAATAGTTTTTCAATTACATTCTTCGTTCTCCAATTTCCATGAACCTTGAGTTTTGGCGTAGGGTCATGCCATTCTGACATGCACAAGATGATGATGATGATATATATATTGCCGGGTCCCAAGGCCCGGATGTAAAAAGTAGAGGGTTGCATTAGGTATTCAACAACCAACATAAAACATGTCAAAAAATCATGCAAGAATCATTTTGATCATTGTGTAAATGCTAAGACGTCCCCCTGGAAGTAACGCATTGTATGGTCTGAATACAATGAAAAGTGTGCAAGGGTCAATACACCGACCCACGGGTGTAGTGTCCAATAAAAGGGTTCCCACATTACAGATAGATGTGGATAAAAAAGTTTGTCCATGAAACTAATATTAGGATAGAATCTTGAAATATAAGTACTCTCACAAGTAAATTAATGAAATTAGTTGATATTATGATTCATAGAAAGATAGATATCTTATGTATTAGAGAAACTAAATGGGTTGGAGAAAAGGCTAAGAAGATTGATAACTTAGATTTTAAACTGTGGTATTCAAGTAAGAGTCGCACTAGAAATGGTGTAGATGTGATAAAGATAAAAAATTAATTGAATTAGAGAAAGAATTATAGCCCTTAAGATTATTGTTGGTTCTAAAATTTTTAACTACTTAAGAGGTTTAGATATAGGCTTTAAAGAAAATTTCTGGAAAGACCTAAAAGACTTAATACAAATGATACCTCTTAAAAAAAGAATTTTTATTGGAGGAGATTAAAATGGACAATTCGGTAGAGGAGTAGAACATTTTAAAAATATTCATGGTGGCTGAAGTTTTGGAGTGATTAATGAAGAAGATAGAGTCATATTAGGTTTTTCTTTAGCGTATGATTTTGTTATTGATAATACTTTATTCAAGAAAAGAGATGAGTATATTATTACTTATAAAAATGGATCTAATAAAACACAAATTGATTATTTTCTTATAAAAATAATAGATCATCGAAAATGTAAATATTGTAAGGCCATTCCAAGTAGGCAGTTAAGTACTCAACATCGATTATTAGTTCAAGATTTTAGGATAAAATGTTGTGAAATAAAAGATATTAGGGTTCATGATCGTAGAATTAGATTGGAGAAATTAAAAGGCACAAATAAAAGTATTTTTATGAGTAAAATTCAAGATTTCAATTTTTGGGATGCTCGTGATGATGGAAATGCTATGTCGGATAAATTAACAAACACTATTAAACAAGTAGCAAAAGATGTACCTGAAAAATCAAAAGAAAATGTTGGTGGAATAATAATGTTAAAGAAAAGATAAAATATAAGAAATTATGTTATAAAAATTGTTTAAATATAAAAGTTTAAAGAATTGAAAAAAAAATATAGAATGGCCCGTAGAGAGTTTAAGACAATATGTGACACTAAAAATTATGTTTTTACTCATCTTTATAATACATTAGATACTAAAATGTGTGAAAAATATATGTATAAACTAGTCAAATAAAGAGAAAAAAAAAGTAAGGATTTAACTCAAGTAAAGTATATTAAGGATGAAAATTAAAAAATATTTTTCTTAAAAAAAATATTCAACATAAGTGGGTGAGTTATTTTCATAAATGTTTCATTTTTACCGTCACATTAATAAAAAAAAAGTTGAGCATGCCTTAAAGAAAACCAAGAGTGAAACGCCTGTAAGACTTAATGATATCTCCATTCAATTGTGGAAATACATACGAGATTTGAGAGTTTCTTGGTTTACTTCTGTAATACGATTTTTAAAAATAAAGGAGATGCATGTGCATAGAGGACTTAAGTTGATGTGTCATGCTTTAAAATTATGGGAGAGGGTAATTGAACATAGGTTAAGACGTATTACAAATATTTCTTATAATCAATTCGGATTTATGTTGGGCATGTCTACTATGGAAGCTGCACATTTATTGAGAGGTTTGATGTAGAGTTCTAGAAGTCCTTTAAAGAGTTAAAAAGGTGTTGATATGACTTATATTCCTGACTTATATTTAAGTCATTTAATATTATATTAGAACTATTATTTGTGTTCGAACAGAAGGAGAATTGACCAAATATTTTCCTACTTCAGTTGGATTACGTCAGGAATCGGGTTTAAGCTCATATATTTTTGCTTTAGTTATGGATGCTCTTACTGAACATATACAGGAGGATGTACCCTGTTGTATGTTTTTCGCTGATCATATCCTTTTCGTGGATAAGATTAGAGAAAAAAATTAAGAAAATCTTGAATTATAGAGGTCTACATGGGAGTCTAAAGGCCTTCGTGGAGACTAAAGGCCTTTATTTGAGTAGAACTAAAACTGAATACATGCAATGTAATTTTAGTAACAGTAGCTCTAGTGACAGAGTTATAACTATGGGTGATCATATCATTAAAAGGTGTGAACGCTTTAAATACCTTGAGTTTATTGTTCAAAGTGATGGTGATAAAAATAAGGATGTTATTAGTAGAATTCAAGTCGGTTGATTGAAGTGAAGGAATGTTTCAGGCCTATTGTGTGATAGAATAGTACTGCTAAGACTGAAAGGGAAATTTTATAAGATGGTGGTGAGACTTGCATTGCTCTATGGCACAGAATATTGGCCTTTAAAAGAGAATAATAAAACTAAGTTAAGTGTTGTTGAGATGAGAATGTTAATGAGTAGCTATACACTTAGAGATAAAATGTGAAATGAATATATCCATGATAGAGTTGGTGTAGCTCCAGTGTCGGACAAAATTAGAGAATCGTCTTAGATGGTTTGGTCACATTAGACATTGAACATCTGATGATCCAATTAGGAGAGTAGATATTTTAAATTCGACTTATGTTAAGAAAGGCAGAGGTAAACCTAGATAGACTTGGGCATATTGAATAAAAAATGATCTTAATTTATCAGAATTAAAAGAAAATATGACACTGAATAGGACGCAATGGAGAAAAAGATTCATGCAGCCGACCCACTTAGTAGAATAAAGGTTTGTTATTGTTGTCTTGTGTGTGTGTGTGTGTGCATATATTTTAAAAGGCAAATTCATTGATGTAAACGGAAATATACAAAGGATTTAGTGAGTCGGTATAAAGAGCCCACTTACAGGGAATACAACTCACTGAAAAAGAGACTTTAAAATACTCGTATACCCAAAAAAAAAATCAAAATACTCCTCTTCATGATGGGTGGATTTACCACTTCTCCTTCCCCTGGTTCTAGGGAGAGAGTCCAACACCAAACTGAGATGTAGGCTTCCGCCCGAAACTATCAAACGGTCATCCTGAAAATTCCTGAGTTCTAGCATCCATTTTTTCTTCTTCCTAGATTTGTAAACTTGTCATTCATTTGTCAGTGTTTGTCTCATCTTATCTATTTGTGAATCTTCGATGGAGAGCTCACCCTGGGGCAATGTTTCCTCATCCACTACCAACTGAGGTTCCACAGGAGGTATAATAAGTGAGCAATCCCCCTCGAGGACAAAAGGAGCAGGCCTCAAAGACTCCTTCACAGATGAAGAAATAGCCCCCCTAGGGGCAATTAAATCAGACACCAACTCCTGTCTTGTGGTAATTTCCTCCACAAGTGGAGTAGATGTGTCCAGAGCACATCCTTATGCAGTTGAGCTTAAGGTTTCAAGTTAGGGTGGAGTCTGTGACATTTGTCAAGAGTATGCCCAAACATCTTACAATAGGTACAATAAAAGGGTCTATCTTTCATAACAATTTGTTGTCAATATCCATTATGTGTTGTGCCCAGTCAAACTTCTGTAATATCAGGAAAAGTGATATCTCTTTCCACAAGTATTTTGGCAACAGAATGTCTAATTAGATTGAAGGTGGGTAAATCTAGCTTCATATGATTCTCAGGTATGGCCTCAATAGAGTAGAGAATCTGATGATTAAATAAATGCAACTTGAGACCAGGTAAACTAAGCCATACCGGTACAGTAGAAGGTTCATGGTTTGGGTCAAAATCAGGAGACCACTTGAGAAACTACATTAACTTTCCTGCAATGTTAAAATATTTCCTAGAGAAAATCTGAGCGTAATCTTCAGTCATGGTTAACTGAATCAACACATGTCTCCCATCAAGAAGTCTCACTTTCCTACTAGTTTGAAATCTTCAAAACTCTTTCTGATAACTTCCATTGAGGGGTGCCCCAATTTAAATTTTTCGATAAGAGCGAACTTGCATTTCTCAGCCAAAGTTGAAATTTCTAAATCAGAGAAAAAGAAAGTTGTTTTCCCACCCTTCCTACTCGCCTTATGCACCATCACGACATTCCTTATAACTCGACGAGAAGACAACAACCAACTCCACCAAATGGTTACTCATCACGTGGACGAAGGAGGCTTTGTCGAGTTCAGTCGAAAAAGGAGGAAGCACACCCAAGAGGAAGGTCGAAACCAGAACCTGCTACGACGCGAACGCAGTAAGCGAAAGCAGACGAAGTAGAAGACGTGAAGATGGAAGCTGAGAGACGCGAACGCAGTAGGCGAAGGTCGCAACAGAAGAAGCAGAAGACACAAAGACTCGAGACAACGGAAGCTCAGCGTCAAAGCAGACGAAGCTGAAGACGTGAATCG